TCCATCACATTTTTCACCACAATCCCAATCCTTCACATTTTTTCCTGCCATCCCAATCCCTCACATTTCCCTTGCAATCCCAGTCCTTCACATCCCTCACCACAATCTCAAACTCTCACATTTTCCCCTGCAATCCCAACCCTCCACATTCTTCCCACCATAAAAACTCCGCGCACCCACGGCATCCGCCATTAAAATTGGGATTCCCGAGGAGCTGAATGTTTCTTGGGAACAGCAGATATTTTAAGGCACTCCTAAAGGAGCAAAGGCAGAATTCCAAGGATTTACTCACAGTACACGTCCACTCGGATGGATTTGATGGCCGGGGAGCCCAGGCCGTTCTCAGCCTTGCAGTAGTAGCGGCCTCCCTGGTGTCTCTGGATGTTGGAAATCCTCAGGGTTTCGTTGAAGACACTGGAATCTTGGAATCTGTCAGAGGCACTTCCTGCTGTTTTGGTCCACCTGATCTGAGCAAGCACCAAAAACCAGGATTACCTTTAGGTCTGNTTCTCAATAATTCACAGAATTCTAGAAAGGTTTGGGTTAGAAGGAAGGAACTTTAAGCCCATCCAGTGCCACCCCTGCCATGGGCAGAGGCACCTTCTGGCTATGCCAGGGTGCTCCAAACTCCATCCAGCCTGGCCTGGAACACTTCCAGGGATGAAGCAGTCACAGCTTCCCTATCAAGGCAGCTTTGAAATGCTTTGTGTGGGATATAAACCTCAAAAATCCAATTAATTTCTCTGTTTCTTGCATCCTACAAAAAGGAAAACGAGCTCTCCTGCTCTCCACCCCTTCACGTGTCCAGTGTGGCCACACAACAGCTCTAACCAAGCTGGAAGGACAGGAAAAATCAAGTTATTCCCAGCTCCATGTGAGCTATTTTCCCCTCTCCGAGCCTTTCAAAGAGATTTATTCTGCATCTGCAGTGCTGCATGTGCAGAACAGCCCCGGCACTGAGAACAAGCAGCATTTCCAGCTGCTGGAAGGAAGCAAATGTTCCCTCCCTGTTCCCACGATGGAGAGCGTGACCCTGGGAGCCCCCTGAGGAGCTGCCATCGATTTCCAATGGAATTTCGGCAGGATCAGAGCCCTGCCAGGAGCCTGTTAACACACTCCAACACAAAAGGACAAAGCAAATGACTTCAGTGTCAACAACCCCCACACAGCTCCAGCCTCTGATGCTTTCCCGAGGGTTCAGGTTGCAAGAGAATTCCAAAAGGAAAAATATCATGAGCTCTCGGGGCTGGGATTTTCTGGAGAAAATGTTTTCTCCCCTCTTTTAATGAGGTTACAAATACACCTGGTTGGAAATATGAGCATGGCCTGGTGACACCAGGGGGATGGCACAAGGGGGGCAGCACTGCAGGAGGGTTTCCCTGCTCCAAGGACACCAATCAGAGGCAATTCCCATCGTTTCTGAGGCTGGATGAGCACTGGAATCACCCGGGAGTGATACCGAATTTTGCCCCAAAAGGCGAGAATAACTGCCTAAGAGACTCAAGTAAGTCAGCATAGACAGGAGGTATTTTATTACGACGCGTCGGAGAAATCACAAA